TGTGAGAAGAACGACCTTGGCAAACAACATGTACAGGTTTTCTCCAGATACTCTGGTTGTCTCCTGTAGTAACACTGGACCAATACACGATGGGAGTTTACAGACAGGACGAAGCTGACGTGAAGAGAACCTGTGAGTGTTTGGTAGAGGCAAACTGGAAGCATTCTTCGACTGAGGTGAAATTTTGATAAAAAAGAGTATATTTCATAAGTCGACCAAACCTCGGTCACAGAGTAGGTACATACAGAGTTCTCACTTCTGCGAGAAAACCGTAAGGTAGTTTTTACCAAAATAGCTGGCGGTCATGTTTTTCGCAAGTGCCCTAAAGATGGGCATTCACCCCCCCCCCTGGAAGATTAAATTTCAATATGTTTTCAGGAGGGTGATGGCCTCTCTTTAGGGCACTTGCTAAGAACATGGCGGAGTGAAAAATCCCTTTCTCTAAATTAACCCGAAGTGAGACCTCTGTATGTGCTTCATCTGCACCCTCGGTCATAGCGGAGAAAGGTGCCGGCAATGTCACGAAAGTAGAATGATGTTGTAGATGGAAATTATCGAGTGGTCATTTATATACATTTTATTTGACCTAACCACTAGGAATAGCCTGTGCACATCCTGTATTACCCTGTACCACTGTAGTACAGGGTAATACAGGATGTGCACAGGCTAAACCAGGAACAGGTTTGAAAAATCGAAAATCTTGATTTTACCCAAAAGAAAGTATAAACTTGGTAGCGACGATAAACAACTGTGGATTGACAGATACAACTACTTGAACAATACAAGCAGAATGTTGACGTTTCGAGGCCCTTCGCACTGACCCTTCGTTCTGGCTCTTCACTAGAAACGTCGAACATCTGTTTATATATTTTCAGGCAGTTGAACCTCTCTCAATGCCCTCTTGGGAAAAAGCAACAGCCGTCCATCATTGATGTATTAAACTAGAAACACTCGAACTAAAATCAGGGCATCTTAAGTCCACTTAGCACATAGATTTGTTCTGGTTTTTTTTAAAACTGTGTATAAACGTTTGTACAAGTTTCGAAAAAAAAGACAATCGTTGCATATTTCACAGCATGGGAACAGGTGAATGCTGTCTCAAAACAGAACCAGGTGGACGCTTAGATTAGAGAAATAAAGACTCGCAGGCGTCAACATTATGTTTTATTCAAGAAATATGCGCAATTATCCAAATATGCACATGACGAGATGGTGTTAAGTTGATGTAAACTATTCCTAACAGCAATATTCTATTTTCTTAACAATCCCCAATTTAATCGTATTAGCACAGATGAAAATAGTACTATAATTGGGATACAGGCAATGGATCCAGTGACTAGCTCTTCATTTTCAAATTGCTCTTTATAGAGGTCCAGTAAATGACTGCTTATTGATCCAGTGTTACTACAGGAGGAAACTTACTAAACTAACTTTATTAGTACTGGGTAGCTCTATCAGTTCTAAACTGTTCTTCCTAGAGGTCATAGATATCTTATATACACTAGATAGTGCATCTAATTATTCTGAAATTCAAAAATTGAAGCCGTGATTGCAGTCTCAGGTCGTTCCCATAAAATGAGAAGATTCGTATGTTTTCTATTTCTTAAACAGGGAACTTAAACATTAAGTTAACCCTATTCCAAATACGTTTTTAAACTATTCAAATGATGAAAGTTACCGCCATCTATTCAAATGGGAGTAACCGCTGCAATATTCTTGGCTTCAATTTTACTAAAAGAGATGCACTATCTAGTGTATATAAGATATCTATGCTAGAGGTCCAGTAATGATATCTCTTATTGATCGAGTACGTGTTACTACAGGAGGAAACCTAAACTAAACTAACTTTATTTATACTGGATAGCTCTATCAGTTCTAAACTGTTCTTCCTAAACCAGTAAGGATCATGTCTTATTGATCCAGTGTTACTAGTGCTAAACCAGTGTTAAAGGAGGAAACTTAACTAAACTAAATTTGTACTGGACAGCTCTATCAGTTGTAAACTGTTCCATATAGAGGTCCAGTAAGGGTCACGTTACAACAACTGGACATACTATTCTCCCATGTGACCACGACATGTGCGCTATAACGTTAACTATGCCACCGGCACCACAATTACATAACATGCTGCATAAACTTAGACTATCATTGCGCAAGAATATATTCACACGCGGATCTCCAAGCGTATTACAGCGAAGACAATAAAAAGCTACAGGAGCTTGATTATATCTTTAAAAAATTAAAAATGACACGCACCTCCAGCGGATAAGCCGCACGAAAACAATGGAGGTTTCCATAGCAACATAACAACATTGCATCGAATTTATTTATGTTAAAAATAAGTGGGTGGATATCTTAGTGTTACAACAAGAGAAAGGACGATTGTTTTTAAAAATTTTAAGACGCCTTTGCAGCTTAGCACCCAAGTGTGAAAATATTTATATAGTCAGGCAAATTATACATAACCCAGACTTTGTCTGGTTTTACTGTGTGGGACTATAATGCGAGCTTTAACGCATGCCTTTCCCCTCCGACGTGGGAACTGTCCCTAGACGATATTAACTCAAACGTGGGGGCCCAGTGTAGGTAGTATTTTACAACACGCTGTCGTAGTTAGCGTTTGAAATATTGGGGGGGGGGGGATACCTTTTCCCCTCACATTTAGGATCCGTTACAAATAATCGGTAATAACTGACGTATGTTGGCCAGCTCTGCCCCCCCCCCAACTCACACTTTTCCAACTCACACTTTTTCGCTCTTGAGGTCATTGTATATTATCAAAATAATATGTTTTTGAGGTCTTCGTTATGGGACAAAATACGTCGGCAAAGAGAGACAAAGTATAATTAATAATTTATAGATTTTTATAACAATGATGACTGGAATATCTTTTGGATCCCCATCAATAAAAACATTGCCATAGTTTCAGATAAATAAATAATGTAGCTACGATAGTAGAAGTAAGGCGGTTTCGCGGCTCTTGCAAAGGATGTAACTATAAACACATTAACACATTAACGTCACATTGTGACAATAATGAATTACGAAATATAACAAATTGGAGATGCATGTGGTATTTGCACAAAAACAAATTAAAACACTTAATAATATAAATACAAAATGGTTTAACCTCAAAAAAATTTGTTACAATTCATTATTACAATTTTATGATTAATTGTGTTTTTTTAAGTACAAAGCTCATTACATATACCACGCTACATTACGTATTTCATCTTATAGTCACATAGTGAACGAGTTTGCATTGAGGGACTGATCCCCCAGGCCACGAAACCAGAAAAAACCTGTCATGCTAACAAATCATGTTTATCATATTTTTTTACTTATTTCATAGTTTTGGCACAAGATAACGGAATTGTGGCACCAGAAAGTAAGTAATTACGGGGACCACTGAGTATTTTGATAAAATACAAAACAATAGATACTCCGAAAATTGAAAGCATTTTGAAAAATTTATTTCAAAAGAAAGTGTTGGTCTTTTGAGATGCGGTAAAATAACGCCCCAGACACACGAGTCACGCATTGTTACACGGGACATTTCAAGATCTAGATTAACAAACCAGATGATCTTGATACGCGGAAAAGTACTGGCACTAGTTGTCAAATAGAAATCCATTTTGTGATTAAAACAACTGAATATCTCCTGTAATATACTTTATTTCGATTCCATATTTTTGTCAGAGCTACAGTTCTCATAACCAAACATAATTACAAAATTTCAACTAGTTTCATAAAGAATAACGAAAGATATAATTGACTGAAGACATCAAAATGAATTTCTATTCGGACAACCCTTTCTGAGCGCTGATTGGCTAAAATACGAACACGAGATCACCTGGAAATAAAGGTTTGATGAGTGTTCCAACTATGTTTCAACTTTAAATAAAATACATGATACCCCCCACTCGTCAGCTAATCGGCAAATTGTAGTGTCTCAGTCGGCAAAACTGGATTGGCTAAAGATAACCACTGAAGAAACCAAAATTGACCTCCTGAATAATTGAATTCAAACCGAATATCACGAATAGCATGCATCAAAGAAACCAAAAAAAACCCTTAAAAACTGACGGGTATTGTGTATTGTGTATATACGTTAGATGTTTGAAGATCAAATTTCGCGCGTCTGGCCATGAGTTAAAATTTGGCTCCAACTTTCGAATTTTCCGGCTGGAGGTAACGTTCCAGTTATATTCCGATTTCAATGATTCGTAAATGCGTGATTAATAGTGCTCCAAGACGTGGAACAGATTTTAAGAAATGCCGAGATTTTGACTTTTCGAGGGCTGCAAAATGGATGCCGACAGGAATTTTGGGTTTTCTGATTATGCGTGTCTCAGAATGATGCAAATGCCATTTCCGGGATTCAAATTTAAAAATTTTCCGTGCCTTCGGCACGAGCCTCCCCCCCAATATTTCATAAAATGTCCGCCACTTGCACACACGGTGGCTTAAAAGGTCTTAAAACTGTTTATTCTACCGATAAATAAAGGGTTTTTATTGACTGGGATTTCAATAACTCGGACTGGGATTTCTAATAAAAATCCAACTGGGACTGGGATTTTGCCAAAATTTCAGGTGGAAAATGGGATTGGGACCCCCCCTTCAGGACCCTCACTATAGGCTAATGACTCGGCAAAATTACCAAACAACAGTCGGCAAAAGATCACTCACCCCCCCCACTCGAAGAGGGTTAGCGCCGCCC